AAAACACATGGATGCTGGTAAATGAACCTGCCCCTTGTGGTACTCAGTTCTTTGTTTCTGTGATAAATCACTCAGTATTACAGACTCTAAATCCATCTAAGTTGCTGTGAAGTTTATAATTTTGCCCTTCTTTATGGTTGCATAATATTTCATCATGTATATGTACCACATTATTTTAATCCAGTCTACTTTCGATGGGCAGCATGGTTGGTTCCATGTTTTTGCTGTTGTGAATAGTGCTGCAATAAACATGCATGCGCAGGTATCTTTTTTGTAGAATGATTTGAGTTCCTCAGGGTATACTCCCAGAAGGGGGATTGCTGGGTCATATGGGAGGTAGATTTTTAGATCTTTTAGGAATCATCACACTATTTTCCACAGAGGTTGTACTAGTTTACACTCCCATCAACTGTGTAGAAGTGTTCCCTTTTCCCCACGTCCTCTCCAGCATCTGTTGTTTTTGAGTTATTGTGATGGCCAACCTGACTGGAGTTAGTGGTATCTCAGTGTGGTTTTAATTTGCATTCTTTGATTATTAGTGAGACTGAGCACTTTTTAATTGTATCTGTTGGCTGCTCGTGTGTCTTCTTTTTGAGAAGTGTCTATTCGTATCTTTTGCCCACTTTTTAATAGAGCTGCTTTTTTTCTTTTCATCGTTTAAGTTCCTTGTAGATCCTAGATATTAGACCTTTGTCAGATATACAGTTGGCAAATATTTTTTCCCAGTCTGTGGGCTGTCTCCCCACTTTCTTGATGGTTTCTTTGGCTTTTCACAAGAATTTCAGTTTGATAAGTTTCCACTTGTCTATCTTATCTCTTATGGCATGGGTACGTGGGGTTTTGATCAGGAATTGGTTGCCAGTTCCAATTTTCATAAGGTTATCTCCTGCATTTTCTAAGGTGCTCATAGTTTGAGGTTTTACGTTTAGGTCTTTGATTCATTTGGAGTTGATTTTTGTGTATGGTGATAGGTAGGGGTCTTGTTTTAATCTTCTGCATGTGGTCAGCCAGTTTTCCTGCACCATTTACTGAATAAGTTCTCCTCTCCCCAGTGGTTGTTAGTGGAAGCTTTGCCAAAGATGATTGGTTGAGAAATGAGGTTTTGTTTCTGGATTCTCTATCCTGTTCCATTGGTCTGTATGCCTGTTCTTGTACCAATACCAGACTGTTTTGATTATTGTAGCCTTATAATAAAGTTTGAAGTCTGGAAATATGATACCTCCTGCTTTGTTTCTTTTGCTGAGGATTGTTTTGGCTATTCATGGTCATTTATGATTCCATATGAATTTCTGTAATGTTGTTTCCAGGTCTGAGAAGAATGCTGCTGGTAATTTAATGGGTATTGCATTAAATCTGTAGATTCCCTTGGGTAGGATGGACATCTTAACAATGTTGATTCTTCCAGTTCATGAGCATGGAATATTTTTCCATTTGTTTGTGTCATCTTTGATT